TGGTGAATTTTTTTTTTTTTTTTTTTTTTTTTAAATTTTTTTTGTTTTTTTATAAACTAACTTTTGGAAAAATTTTTTTAAAATGGGGGAAAAAAAAAAAAAAACCAAAAAAAAAAAAAAAACTTTTCCCTTATCTTTCACATCCACCTTGCAGTGGTATTAAAAAAAAAAAATACGAACAAACAAACAAACGTGGTCAACCCCATTTCTTTTCCTTTACCTGCCACCATTTCTTTTCCTTCCTCTCTTTTCACTTCTTTATCTTTTGTACTCCTTTTTTTATTTTTTTAATATTCTTCCTCCTTTCCTATTTCCTATAATTAAGCCTACTCCTCCCCACTTTCTTCCATCAATTGTTTCTGCTTCTTCTCATCCGAAGGAATGGTTGGGACTCTAATTTTAAAATTTTATAAAGTATTTTTAAAATGAGATCCATCTTATGATGTTATATTTATATTTTTTTTTTCTTGTATCACACTGTTAAAAATTCTAATTTTAAAACTCTTAATCATTACACTTCTCATCCCCTTCTCTCGGTTTCCTCTTCCCCCTTTTATCTTCCCGTTTCTCTTGCAAATTGTTCTCTCTTCTTTTATTATTATAATTTTAATTTAGCTTGGGAGGGTTTAGGGTAAGTGTTCAAATTAAGGATATTTATTAATAAATTTTATCTCACAAATAAGTACTCTAATTAGTTCTGAATTTTTTCTATTGATCTGTTAAATTTTATTAGTGGTGAGTTTCTTTATATGTGGTCCTTTTTTGATTTTTGGTAGTATTTTAGTGGATAACTATATCCTTTTATTAATGTGACAGGTATGATTTGATGTTTCAATGTGGCATGTATTAATGTGGCACTCCAACGATGTAACACTCCAAAAAAATTAAAAAATCCTTAGTATATTTTTCCTAAATGTGACAACGTGGAGAGTATGATGTGACACTCCAAAACTTTTACTCCTAAAAAAATAAAAATTTCTTAGTGTACTTTTTCCAAATGTGACGACGTGACGGGTATAATATGACACTTCAAAAAGAAATAAAAACTCCTTAGTTTACTTTTATCAAACGTGACAACGGGTATGATGTGACACTTTAAAAAAATTAAAAACTTCTTGGCGTACTTTTTCCAAATGTGACATGTGACACTCCAACATGGCAGGTATGATGTGATACTCTAAAAAAATTAAAAACTCTTTAGTGTACTTTTTCCAAATATGACACTCTAACGTAATGAGAATAATGTGACACTAAAAAACTTTTTAGTGTACTTTTTCCAAATGTGACACTCTAATCTAGCGGGCAAATGAGTCATTACACATCTAAAGATCTAAATTGATCACAAGAAAAAATATGGGATTATATAGATTACAAGTCCAAAATATGAGACTTATTGGTTAATCTCCCTTAAAATTATATAAAAGAAGAATTTTAATCTATCATTTTTGGAGATCCATGGAGCAAATTTAGATATTTGGTGATGGAGGAATTATTTTGAAGTAAATTCAAGTGGTATACAATATGTTTCTTTTATATCTTCTTGCAAAGAGTTTTATATTTTAATTATTCCCAACTTGTAAGCCTCTTAATTATTGTGATCATTGATAAATTTTGTAAAATTATTTGTTTTTGATTTGTTAATTGTTCCAGTCATTTGGTAAAATTCTGTGAAGATATTTTGTGTTAACAATGGTGATTTGTCTAATTGAATTATGTGGAAATGCTCCGTATATGGATTGAGTAGACCCTACCAATACACTCTGTACCAATAGCCCAGATAAGTGATTGTGCTTGGGTGAGAGCGGTGAGGCCGGTCACTGGTCATGTACTGAGTAGGACCGGATATTTGGTTCTGGATAAATTATCATATGTCGAGTTGAATTGTTTGTGCAATTTGGTAAATTGCTTGATTATAAAATCTAATCGGTTGTGTAATTGTTGGATCCCTATTGATTTATTCTCCATCCGAGCCTTGTTATTCCTGTTGTATTGTATACTTCCCGAATTAATTTATTTTTCAGATGTGGAGCAAATTTAGTGATGATTGGAGTTGAAGCATCTAAAGAGATTATTTGAGTTGAAGATTTTTTTTAGTCCACAACTATATATTATTTTTGGAGATTTGTGTAATTTATATTTTGGAGACATTTGAGTTAATTATTTATGGAGACGATTTGTATATTTGAGATTGTGAGTCATCTGCAATTATAAATTTGATGTTGATTTGATTAGTTAACGGCCTAGAAGTTGGGGCGTTACAGTTTTACCCAAGATCATGTTATATCAAAGCCAAAGTACTCAAGGATGGGTAGGGTTACTAAAGTAATATTAAGCATATAAGCGTGAGGGCACCCTCACCTTAATAGCTAGCTTTTAGGGTGAGTTCTACCCAAGATCGTGTAACAGTTACTAGTAATCCACACGCCCATCTACTTTTAGAACCTATCATTTAAAAGGTAGTCAAGTCACTTGAAGACTAAAAAGCACAAATACGGACATGTGACACAATACGGACACGCTAACACGATAATTTTCAAAACATGCAAGACACAACACGTGGGAGACACACACAAAATATATAATGTTATATATTTATTATATATCATATATATGAAAATATCATTCCAAGACAAGAAATAAATTCAATATAACATTATTTTTCTTTTATAATTATATTCTAAGTTATTTTGTTCAAACCAAACCGAGTCTTAAGTCCCATTAAATGGGGTCGGCTACATGAATCCTTCTTCTCCACTTGACTCTATCAACGGCCATTTGGTTAGTCAAATTAAAGAGATGCATATCTTTATTCACTACACTCATCCACGTCAATCTAGATTTGCCCCTTCCCCTAACACTTCCACCTACCATTACTGTATCACATCTCTTCACTACTGCCTCTGTTGGTTATATGACCAAACCATCCCAATCTATTCTATCTCAACTTATCTTCTATCGGTGTTACTCCTACCTATTCACAAATATACTCATTTCTAATTCTGTCTTTTTTAGTCTTGCCACACATTCATCTTAGCATCCTCATCTCAGCAACATTCATCTTATCTACATGTTGTTCAAACTTATAATTAATTTCGCATGTGTCTAATCAATGGACACGTGTGTTTAAGAAATGGGCATGACTATCCTCCAAGTGTCCGAGTCTAAATTCTTTACACGTTTGGATGAGTGTTGGACATGTGTCGGGAAAGTGTCCGACGAGTGTCAATGTCCGACATCGACACACCACCTTTTTTAAAGTTTATGTGCTTCTTAGCTTGAAGAAGATTTACAACAACTTAGGATGTAAGTTCACTATTATTTGTTGTGTCAACAACACTCCAAGGGAGGCGTTGGTTTCATGGGATTGAGGCATGGAATTGGACTACATGTCCAAGAGATTTACTAGTCTGTTGTTTGGTTAGAAAAGTAAAGGTTAGACTAATAGTTAAATACACATTATTCCACCCAAATAGTCTAGGCACTATTTATCTCACGACTAACCGTCATTGCATTGCAATCCCCCTTGTCTAGTTCGTCCAAACAAACACCCCCCAAGTTTATCATTTATATCCATTTTAAGAAGCTAGATCATGCTAGCTAGTCGGAACCTAGTTTAAACAAATTCTCCTTTGGTCAAGGCAATAGAAGAAGGGGGAAGCTGCTAAACCATTGTGCATCATTAATTCAGCACTTGACATCACTCCAACACTAGAAAAAAGGGAAAGTCATCTAAGCCTTTGAGGAATTCATATTAATATCATTCATTTTCTCCTCTATATCATCCATGTGGCCAGGTCTCATTCTGAATTAGGTTGTGGGCTGCTTTCTTTAGGCTGCGTTTTACATGAAACACTATTAACAGCGGCAGGATTAAGAAGTTGGAGATTTAGGTAGTGTTTGGTTTAATTTTCAAAACTCAATTATGTTTTCAAATCATGATTTGAATCAAAATTTATAACCAAATAAAATTTTAAAATACAATTCAAATTTACTTTAAAAACTCCTTTCTTCTCATTTTTTTTATTATTATTAATCAATCAAATCACCTTTTCCCTCACATTCTATACATCAATCAATAAAAAAAATAAAAATATCATCCCAATACTGTTTTCTTTTGATCAAAACTCATAATCAAAGCAATTTTCTCTTTTCAAATCATAATTCAGAAACTCAAAACTCAAAACACAACTCCACACTCAAATCATAAATCTAAAACTAAACCAAAGGGACCCTTAGATTTTCATCGTAGAGATGGTACACATAATAAAAGTGACTAATCAAATCATCAATTAGCAATCAAAGGTTTAGAACAAAAAGAAGTTGTATTTTATGGTTTCCAACAAAATGTGTAAGAAAAAATTCATGGATTGGCGAAACAGAGCTTAATTGAGAACAAAACAAGCTTAAGAAAAGACTAACGTAAATGGTTTGGCGGTGAGAGAGGCCCAGAGCTCGAACCAAACCAATGCACTGATTCTCAGCTCCGGCGACGCCGTTTCCGATGACAACAGCTCGTCGGATGGCGGTGGAGAAGCCAACTCGGAAGATGTCCCTCAATCCCCAAGAATCGGTCGGCGGTTCGCGAAACCTGATTGCTCGCATAATGCATCACTCACCACTCACTCACTCACCATATATGATACCACACCACACCTACCTTACACCTTTGTATTGTGAGGATGGGACAACCAAGCTCAACTCTCTCTCTCTCTCTCTCTCTCTCTCTCTCTCTCTCTCTCTTCTTCTTTCTAGTTTAGCACTTTGAACTCAGACTACAGAGGGGTTTCGGTGTCTGGGTTTTGCACGAAAAATTATACCCTGCCATTAGAGGAAATAGCACAACAAAAAATAGAGGGGCTGAGATTGTTTTCTTCATACTTCTGTTGACGGTACTCACTGACGTTATGTTTCGCAGGAAGGTTTGGCTTGGCTTGGCGTTATTTTAGTAAAAAAAATAAAACAAATTTATTTTAGTAAAAAAAATAAAGATAAAATATTACATTTAAATTATAATTATTTTTTTTTTTTTCAGCTATCAAATCAACTAAAAAAAAACTTATCATCCAAAATTTAAACCAGATTAAAATAATCAAAAAAATTAAAAAGTCAATTAAAATAATCTATTCCTAAACATGATTTGGATAAAAAAATAAAAAAATTAGTTTGGTTAATAAATTTCTAAAATACAACTCAAAACTCAATACTCAATTTTCTCTCTTCTCTATCCTTCTTTTTATTTTATTTTTTTATCTTTTATTATTAATAAATCAAATATCCATTTTTTCCCTCTCATCTATTTATTCTCTCACATTTTACACATCAATTAATCAAATTTTCTCTTGCATTCATCTATTCAACTAAAAAAATAAATAAATAAATTATAAATCAGCTCAAAATTATTTTTAAAATTTAAAACCAAACAAATTTTTAATTTTCAATTTTTTTTTTCAATAACTTATTTTTTAAAATATAAGTTAAACCAAAGGAGAGTGTTTTTTTTTTGGGGAACAAGCAAAGTTCGGTCATGACTATCACTCTCTCTCTCTCCCTGAACTCCAACCGCGTCACCATGGATCTTCTACAGTCATACGCAGACACCGAACAGAGTGGCGAGGGTAAATGCTTAAAAATTGAAGAGTTGCAGTAATGAGTTTTTTTGGTTAGTTGCCAAACCCACAAAATGTTATTGATTGCAATAGAAAAAATCATTAGGTTTATGTTTTGTAATCATCACCAAGGACCGATCCACAGGGTGCAAAAGAATATTTAGATTTTCAAATTTTCAAGATCCATCCATGATCATAACAATACTAATTTATTTATTTTATACATGAAAAATAAAAGCCCATCCTTGATAATCACAATATTATTATTTTTATTTTCTATTACAAAAAAGAAAGAAAAAGAAAGTGGTTGCCCAATGACTTAAACTAAAGCTATAGCCAGAGAACCTACAGGTTCACTGTCTAGCCTAAGAGTTCAACTAAGCTGGGCACAACTCACAGGTTCACTGGTCTAGCCTGAGTTCAACTAAGCTAGGTAGAACCTACAGGTTCGCTGGTCTAGCCTGAGTTCAAGCGTTGAAGCCATCTATCAACTTTACCATCATCCAACCACTTTGGTGCCCTCGCTTGAGTTGTAAGCTAACGCTACTTAGCTTGGCAATTATTAGATGTCTCAACCACCCCTTATATTCAGACATTTTGCGTTGTTTTTAAACGATGTGGGATAAGTTTACGATTATACTGCTACCAATATTTAAACTTTACAATATCTCTTTTCTAATTAGATTATGAACGATGTGGGATATATTTACGATTCTACTACTACAAATATTTAAACTTTACACTATCTCTCTTCTAATTAGATTATGAACGATGTGGGATAGATTTACGATTCTACTACTACCAATATTTAAACTTTACAATATCTCTTTTCTAATTAGATTATGAACGATGAA